GTCCGTTAAGAAAGCCTATTATTATTATTATTATTATTATTTTTATAAAGTTTGGCAATAATCGGTTTTGCAGTTTCGGAACTTATCAGTTTAATAAAAATCGACACAGACGACAGACAGTTTTTTCGTACTCAGAGGTCCTGAAACGCCGAGAAAACATTAAAGTAGCTGGTCATCCGAGGGACCCTATTACAATACTTCCTTCGCTAACGCTCGGGACGTAAAAGTGAATCGGTGTTGGGTTAAGTTACGGAGTTTTGTATATTTCGTTGGAATCAATTAAGAGATGTAGACATCTAACGAGAATTAATAAATGTGCACAAACGAAATCACCCAATTAAATAGCAGTTATTACTTCCCGAGTGTAAGCTATGGAAGTCCATCGGCCGAATTGCCGCTTCTATATTTTCTCGACATGTCTTTACCTCGAGAGTACGAAAAAAGTGGTCTCCCTTTTCCGTCGGTCTGTCTGACTGTCCGGCTGTCTGTCTGTTTGTCTGTCTGTCTGGTGTCTGTATCCACTTTTATTAGACACGTAATATCCGAAACTACTGAACAAACTGCAAAGTGTTTATAATCACACCGAAGGCTAGACAACCCGTTGGGAAGCTGTAGACTGCAGTTTCGATCTTGTTGGATCTCATCAGTACCGCTCATCCCATCGAGTTGTCTAGCATTCATTGTATTTCGCTTATGTGCGTAAGCGTAGCAACCAGGTGTTAATGAGATGTTAGTGTGGCGACCTATGTGTTTACCCCTACTTGCCGAAAGATCGTACTTTCGCGCTATTTAGGGAAACCAACCAGTGGACGGAAACAGCTACTTCCCGGAGAAAAGCCTCGCCGGACGCTGAATTACACCTGTCTGCACAGGTGTCGCCACTTTCGCGGATAACGGCCGCGTTCCTCTAAATTTACAAAGTGTTTAATCACACCGAAAGTTAGACAACCCGTTAGGAAGCTGTAGACCGCAGTTTCGATTTTGTTGGTCAAATTGTTGCCAAATTTTTATGCATATTAGAAATATCATGTAGATAATTAAACGCTGACTAAAATTTGACTAATCATCCCCCTACCAATGGGATGACGTCATTTCCAAAATATATAATAGTATTTTTGTTTACTTTTATAAAATAAGATATTCCTACACTTATGAGGTGTGAATTTCATTCTAGACATCCAAATTTTTAGAAAAAAATTCAAAACTGTGTAACAATAGTTTGGAATTTAATTTTGAAACTACAAAATCGAAATCTTGTTTAGGTTATTGTAATCATAGTAAATCGTTGAGCAAAATTTATTCTTTTATATCCTCCAAAAAAATCATGACTTTATCTAAAATTTTGGCGAATAAATCCTTTCTGAAATATGCAAAATATTATGACTGCATGCTTGTGGTTTGTCAACGCACTCTTAGTTTTTAGAACTACTTATACAGGGTGACTCAAAAACATAATGAAAAAATATATTTATTTTATCGATTAAATCCGGAACTACACAACCGAATGCTTTATAATCTTGCAGACGTTTTAAACTTATCTTACTTATTTACTGATGGTAAATTTTTAATCATAATATATCTGTCTAACCTCTTAAAAAAATTGATGAGGTCACCTCAAAATTTTGTCGAATAAATCCTATCTAAAATGTATAAAATATGATAATGTGGGTTATTACTGTAATAACAGTTTTTAAATTTCTTATACAGGGTTACTCATAAAAATTAATGAATGAGTCAATTTATTTTACTGAAATCTATTTTCCATTTTCCCTAAAATTTGGGAAAACAATAGTATTATCACTAGTATTACACTGCATATATCCAAAGTGATATCGTCATCACAAAATTTTCTTAAGGGAAAACTCATAGCGCAGCACGATCTTTTACATTTATTTTAATGTTACATACATATCTTTAATTTATAAGGATTTTCATAAAAAAAATTAAATTCGCATAATATTTTTTCTAAAAAGCTGGGTTTGTTGATACATTTTTTTATTTAAATACATTTGTTATTTTTAAAGAAGAGAATTTTTGTAGCTAGAATTAAATGGATATTTAATATAACATAATATGGATACTAGTTTACATAATTTGAGGTAAATAGAAGTCTGGTGATGTTAACAGAGAAGTACTAAAATTTCAGTCAGATATATTCCTTTGAAAAGGATATATTATAAAAATTATAAATAAAGGCTAAAAAAATAGTGAAATTTAATAATTTTAAAATAAATAAAGTCTTATTTCATATTTCACTGATTTTTATTGATAATTATAGCTTTAATCTTAAAATACCATCGTAGCAAATATATAAAACCTATTGCAAACAAACCAAAATCAAACCCGACATCAATTAGTACCATTAAATAGTACGTACCTACGCTTGTAAATGAAATCATTATACAACGGTAGTTCTACCTCTTGCTAATGTCTTTCAGAACAAAAAGTTTAATGCATAACAATTAAATAGTCTTCCTATGACCGGTCTTACACAATAATTGACTCAGGAAGTGAAATAATTCCATACCAACAATTTTTTTTAAATATTGAGCACAATTACTGAGAACAACGGTTTGAACTAAATGTGCTAGGCGTGTTTTACATTCGATTTGCATTAATTTCTATTTCCTAATCGTTACTTTTATGGTAGTCATAAAGTGCTTTCTTTTCAAACCACGGTAATCACCATGCGTATCAGTCTCTGCAGTAATGTAAAACAATTGCTCCCTATTGTAAGTATATATTTATGATACAACAATTAACAATGGTGTTGGTGTCGAGCAGAGTAGAGGAAATAATGGAAGTGAGTAACGGTAGTGCTTGATTGTGGGAAGCAAAGGCAATGGTTGACATCACCTCGAACGAATTGATTAATAGTAACGAACTGTCTGATGCTTGTTGAAAGCTAAATAAACTTGCTTTACATTAGCTGCGATTCTTCGGCAGGGCCCTATTCTAAAACGAAAATTAAAAATCTGAACTGGGATTCGAACGCTATGCAAGTAGGAATTTATTGAACCACTCGCCAACTAAATTGACTTTGAATTTGATATGAATGGCGCATGTGAGTCTGAATGCCCCGTCCGGTGTGCTAATGACAATTGGCTACCGTGAAAGGGTTGTACAGTGCAGGCTACCCATAATGGAATCAAGCATTTACATTTACGGCTCTCGGATTAATACTCCCATCTCACCCTCGCTGCCGATGCCGAACCCCGTTAGCAATTAATAAACACTATCTCTTCGAAATATCTGATGATTTGCAGTTCAGTCGCAAATTATTACCACACAGTCGTATAGTCCCTATCGAAAATATAAAATGGACAAAAAAAAATCAAAAATGTGCGTTCTGAAAAGCATCCAGCCCATTTAGAGTTAAAAAATTACATTCAGAGTTTCGTCAATTATTAACAATTCCTGACATAGTTTACACCATAAAAATTCCCACATTTATAAAATATATGATACAAACTGTGAAAACTGTTGTGACGTATAGGTGACACATACGTAGCCCCAAATTACACAGTTGGATGAAACTGAAAATACGTGGCCAAAATTGTGAAAATTAAATATCTGTTTTCTGAATAGTACACTACCAGACAAAAAGACACGCACACTTGAATTTTTATGATTAACATAACTTTATTCTAAAAAATATGGAAACAGAAAAAAATTAAAAAACGTTATAACATTAAACATTAGCGTAAAGTTGCAAATATTCAAGTGTCCGGGTTTTTTGTTTGGCAGTATATTTGACAATATATGTGAGGTTATTTTATTACTATATTATACATATGTATACAAAAATTTAATGTAAATACATGCTTTATTTTAGGTTAATTAATGTGTTGTTAAGATACATTTCAACTCAACATGTCTAGGGTGGAATTATTCTCTAGTGATGGGAACACTTCAAAATTTTTCGATAGAATAATGGAAATATTAACTCATATATTTTCTGTAATTTTAAGAGCAATTTCTTGCGGAAAAGAAATAAAATTAGAGGAAATTAAGACACAGGCTAATGAAATTGCGAAAATATTAGTGTACATGCATGGATCGTTCTACATGCCAATGAGGGTGCATAAAGTTATCATTCATAGAATCATTATTATATCATCATATTTCTTTCCTATTGGACAGTTGACAAACGAAGCACAAGGAGCTAAAAATAAAGCTATTTGAAAATACCAGCAATGTCAAAATACATGGGTCAGTCTTCCAGAATAGATTTTTGCCTTTTGATCCCTTAACAGCCTCTTTTAGGGACGTCTACATAAAAAAATACAAATACTATCAGACATTCGTCAAATTTTTGAAAAATGTGTAAGAATCAAGAAATAGTAAAGATGAGTTTCGAAAGTGATTACTCACTAGTCATTGTAATATTAAATATATATAATCATTTATAATGGTTATTATTTTTTTTATAACTGTATTGCACTATTACTGTACTTTATTTTGTTTATTTATAAGTTTTCTTCGTCTTTTAATACTTTATGTTTTACATTGTTGAAAGTCGGGGAGAGGTGTCTGAGATGGCATACTAGGTTAAGATGGCACAGGTGGGATTTTATTGCTCCTGAAAGTTGTCTAAGTTATTTTGCTAGTGGACAATAGTGTTTGGTGTGTTATCTAACTACTGTGAAAATTTTGTGGCGGTTAGAGTCTTTGTTTATGAGGTAAGGATTTTTTTATGTTAAAATGGGTAAAACATCTTATTTCTGTTAATAACATATACTTGATTTATTCATTAAACGAATGAATAATACGAAACACTGCATCACATACGTTAATTAGTGACTTCTAACCTATATTTTCCGCTAGTTACTTTATGTGTTGACTTTATTTTAAAGATTCTGTGGGCCAAATATTAACGGAGACTACAATCAGGCTAAGATGGCATATTTCTTGTATGGATAAGATGGCATAGTATGCCGTCTTAGCCTTGTTAAGTATTACGTCAAATATGTATTTTAAAAAATTAAGGTTTTTAGAAAATGGGCAGATATCAAAGAAAGACTTCACGACAGAGTTGGGACCCAGTTGCAATGGCAAAAGCAATAGACGCAGTGACAAAGAAAGAAATGGGATGGTTAAAGGCGTCCAAATCTTTCGGTGTTCCAGCAACGACTCTTAGAAGGCGGATTAAAAATCAAATGGGAGCTAATAAAGGATACCTGGGAGGACGTAAAACAACTTTCACCCCAGAAGTTGAAGAAGAAATTTTGGAACATATAAAGAGACTTGAAGAAATGTTTTTTGGTATAACCAGAAGAGACCTGCGGAAACTTGCCTATGATGTTGCTGAGAGAAACGGAATAGCACACAATTTCTCTAGTAAGGAACAACTAGCAGGATGGGATTGGGTGAAAGGATTTCAGTCGCGTCATCCTACAATTTCACTAAGAATACCAGAAGCTACATCGGCAGCGAGGGCACGCGGATTTAATAAGGTCGTAGTTAGTAAACATTTTGAAAATTTGTCACTGGTAATGGATAAGTACAAATTTGAACCGTCAAGAATTTGGAATGTGGATGAATCTGGACTATCCACTGTTCCGTCAAAGAACTCCAAAATATTTGCAACAAAAGGGAGAAAGCAAGTAGGTGTTCTGACTAGTGCAGAACGTGGCCAACATGTGACTGTGGTTTGCGCTATGAATGTTATTGGAAGCTATGTACCTCCAGCTCTAATTTTCCCACGAAAAAGGCTAAAAAATGAGTTAATGGACGATTCTCCTCCAGGTTCTGTGGCATTTGCTCAAGAAAAGGGTTGGATGACGGGACCAGTTTTTTTGCAGTGGCTTGATCATTTTGTAAAGTATGTTAAGCCATCACCAGAAGACAAAATTCTTTTAATATTAGATGGTCATGGCAGTCACAAAAGCCTTGAAGTATTAGAATTTACTAAAAAACACGGAATTATTTTATTCTGCCTACCACCTCACACAACCCACCGCCTTCAACCACTGGATGTGACATTTTACAGTTCGCTTACAAATTACTACAACATTGAACTGGAAAAATGGTTAAAGAATCATCCTGGCAGGATGGTTACACATTTTCAAGTGGCTAGTATTTTGAAAAAAGCATATGCTCAAGCCGCAACAATATCTACTGCAGAGAATGGTTTTTATCAAACAGGAATAATTCCTTTAAATCCCGACATAATTCCTGATTGGATGTACGCTGCTGCTGAGCCAACAAACATCGAAACAGAAAAAGTAGTATTATCAAATACAGAATCTGACAACTTTTCTTCTCAACCGTGCAGCTCAAATATGGCAGACGATTCTGGAAATTTGAATCCAGAAAAAAATACACTAAATGTTCAAGAAAGGTCAAGCCGAGGGTCAAGCTCATTAAATGTTTCTGTAGAGGAAATCTATCCTTTACCCAAAGCTCCTGTAGAAACCCAAAATCGAACCCAAAGAAGAAAAGGAAAAAGTGGAATAATAAATGCTACACCAGAAATTGTGGAGGCAAAGCGTTTGCATGCTGAAAAAGAAGCTAAATCTTTAAGAACGGCTGGTAAAAAGGCGTCAAAAAATTTAAAGAATGTTTTTGAACCTAATGAAAGTGATAACTCAGAAGATGACCCTTATGGAACTGATGATGAATATGGAGACACTGTCTGCATATATTGCAATGAACTGTTTAGTCATTCTCGTCCAAAAGAAGTGTGGTTGCAATGTCAAAAGTGTCTACAATGGTGTCATATAGACTGTGCTGGAGTCTCATCGAAGACAAAGCGATTTACTTGTGATTTGTGCAAATGAAAAAAATAGTTTCCAATGAACGTTCTTTATTATATTTGATATAGCTCCTTTTTTGTAAACATTTTTATGTTTTTGTTAAATATTAGAAAGGTTATTTAGTTTGTCGTTAACATTATATTGCAATATACTTAAAGTATGGTTACATTTTACCTATACCTACCCAGCTCTATAGCTGCAAAATTAAAAAAAAATATATATAAAACCATATAGTAGGTACGCCATCTTAGCTAAATTTATTTGGGTAAGATGGCATATCAGGATATGATGGCACATATCCCATAAATCAACTGTGGTGAAGAATTACGTCTATATTGAGATTTTCAGTGATAGAGGGCTTCATACTGCGCCTAAGAGTATCACTTATGTTTATAAAAAACAAACAACTGATTTAGAAAAAATTCATAACTGTTAAATATGCCATCTCAGACACCTTTCTCCTATATGTATATATTTCTTTTAAGCAGGGTTATTTTTCCTTTGTTTTGATTGTTCTTTACAATTATATTAATAATAATTATTATTAAACATTAAGAACTTTTGTCTATTAAGAAATATTGTCTATTCTAATGGAATTCTTATTTTAGTTGATTCTGCTATCACAAATTGTAACAAATGATGTTTTAAGACAAAATTCAATACAGTTTGATTGAAATTAGGTTACTTAACTAATTCAGGCTGATCCAGATTTTGATCACATATTTTTGGTTTCCTCCCACTGTGCATTAGGGGGAATGTTTTCAATACAGAAATTCTTTGATTGCTTATTTTCATGTATATTGTTCACGTCTAGACTTCACTGCTAAAAATTTATATTCTTCATTTCGTGTAACATATTTTTACTTTTTAAGCGACATACAGTTAATAACTGTAGTAAAATCGTTTTGAGGAATGGCGAATTTAAAGTTTTTTTACAACTATAGACTATGAAAATGTCATTAGTCCTTTCGCTTTGTATGTTGTCTGTCTTTCAGCCGTTTATAGTGTGTTGTCTGTCGTGTATATTGTTTATTATTTCGCACGCTAATCAAATTTTCATCTATTTATCAAAATTATTAAACTGATGACGTCATTTCAAAATATTGACAAAAAATATCACTGTGTCAATTAAAAGTCCAAAGTTATTTAAACAGAACTTCCCTCGCCCCTGAAGCGCGGTGAAACAAATAAGCTTCTTTGAAAAGTAAAATTTTTTCTATAATAATTGTTTAGACAGGATTTCCTCCGCCTATGAAGTACAGTCGAAAAAATACAGGTTCTTCGAGAAATAATAAAATTTAATTTTGTAATATTGATATTTGAACAGTGTAAAGTTTTAGAATTTTTTTACACTTTGTACAACCATAAATTAATAAATTACTGCAAAAAGTAGTAGTGGAAATTAAAGTAGAACCCTAAGGCTATTTTCTCCGCAAAAATCATCTCTGGGTTTTCAGTTTTCATCCTAACAAAAGTTAACATGGGGTCTAAAATTTAACATCGGGATCCCTATGGCCACTTTAAAAATGATGCACTGTGTAGTATACTGGATATTGTATATATGGTGTACTCTTACATCTGTAGTTTAAGAATTCGATTTTTTACCCTAGACATCCAGAAAAATCAAAATTGTATAAGAACATTTCAAAATTTAACTTTGAACAGCAGAATTTTTAGAATTGCTTATGAATCGCGCAATATATTTTATTGATCAAACCAACTACGGGTCACCCTATTTTCCAGAAAATTTGGGAATACAGTACTGTTGTTATTAGTGCACCAAATTGGCATACATGTCTGCTAAAATGTTGATGACTTCATCACAAAAACTCACTTAAAACATACGCACAGCATTTACTTTAGCAGTACACACTTATCTTTATTTTGACTTATAGATATTATACAAAAAAATAAAATTAGCAAAATGAAATTTTATAGTTTTTCGAAAAAGTTCTGACTAAATAATCTTCCGCCATATTTTTTAATCAGTTAAGATTCTTAAATCAATTAGATTCCTGCACCAACGTAGAAATGACAGTGAATAATATAATTTTAAGTAGGTTGTTAAAACTTAAAAATATCATTGCCAAAATAACAGCTTCTGGTAGAACCTTTGCCACATCTTAAACGATTCGAGTGAAACAAAACTCGGAAAAGTAAGTATGTTATGATTTCGCCCCGCGTCTAAGTTAATTTTTGCGCAGATAAGTGTCCCACCACAAAATATCTATTTTTTAAATGTATGTACTCTTCAGCAATATGTTATACACCTTAAACGGGATGGATTGTTATGAACACTATTGTAACGGAAATATACTGTAATGTTATTAATTACACAGGCCTGCGAAATATAACTTTTAATTTCCCTTTTAAATAATATTGTTTTTTTTTAGGTATTTATGTATGCTGAATTAAAATATAACTCTAGTTTTTTTGTAGCACATCGAGATTTATTTTTATGTAGGCCTAAATATTCATAGTTCTTCAAACAATTTTTATGAAAAAATAAAATATAAAGAATATAAAATTGAATGTTTATTTATTAAATGAACTAAATTAGTTATAAACAAGACTTAAAAAAACAAATAAATCAAGAAGCTTCTTTTTTTCTTTCTTCAAAGCTCTAATTTAAGCGTTTTCTCTTGTATTCACGGTAGGATATGTTATTGCTGTTACATTTTTCGCATTATATCATTTTATATTTGAACAGCAAAAGTAACATTCGTCTGTATGATTTTGTGGCTCCATCCAAATTATTGGTGTCAGCAAACTTATCTGAAGAATTAACCCATTTCCGAGAAGATATTAGTAATTTTTGTTTAAATTCAGGGTAGTAAGCGCATAGTCGACACAAATAACTCTTACTAAGCTGAACACGAAATGAAATAGCAACACCATTATCCATACATATTATTACCACAAAATCTAGAAGTTAATTTTTATAGTACTAAGAACAAAACTGAAAAAAATATTTTTTGCAGAAACTGTACGTGATAGAAATTTTTGCAATTTTTTTTTATACATGAGTATCTAAGACCTACCGAAAATACTACTTGATTTTGTTGGGGGAAAACCATCGCAGGCCTGTGTTATTGTATATCATATCTCAATTTAATATTTGTGGTAGTTTCATTGAACAGATATTCATACTCATCATCTATTGCTTACTCTGTCAGGTGAAGGTATTCGTTTTCACTATCCTTGTCATTATCTTTCCTGTTTGATTTATCTATCTCGAAGACAAATTGTCCCAAACGACATACAATTTTCATTTTCGTCTGGAAGCTTGCCAGGTCTGATTCATCGCGGATCGGCAATCACCATTAGCCACAGAGTAATGGTAATGGTAATAACAAGAACAAGGGACGTCTAATGATTGCAGCATAGTGGTTGCAACCGTGATCTACTCCGGAAACCTGTAAGACTATGCGGTCTCCGTATAAAAGCAAAAATACTAATTACTGATCCTCTCCATCATCTTGTTTTATTTTCTCTGGTAAATCAGCAACAGGTATCACTTCTCTGTATTTTGCAGGATTTTGTTCATGAAATCGCAATAATAAATATGTCACAGGAAACATGATACAGTCGCATTAAAAGTAATTATAATAATAATTTAGAAACATCGACGGTGTTCGTAACTCAGGTATGATGTAAGATGAGGATTCTTAGCGGCTGAAATTGGAAACCAGTTTTCTTGAGTTAAAAAGCCATTACATGGTGATTGTTTAAGCGCTGTATTAAGATGCACTTTGTACAAAACAAATCAAATAAATGAAAAAAAAAGTAAACTTGTTTATTCAGGACTTTACTTTACCATCCCACCAATGCCGTCTATCAGAACGTAGGTATGTCTCACAACTTTTTTTTTTAAATCACATATTCAACTTTTCATAGCAATACATACAATATCTTTTTTTAACGCTGGCCATAGGGATTTACGTGTTAAATAATTTGGACCGTGTTATTGAGTTTTCTAGCAAAGATTATCAAGTAAAATTTGGCGAAATATTAGACTAGTATTTCATAAATCAATCTGAAGGAAATAATTGCCGAACAAAAATAAATTTATTAAATTCTCCACAAATTCACAGTTTTGTTGTCATGTTATGGCACTTGGTCATGGTCTCCTGGGCTAGCAATAAGCAACGAATTTACCTGCTTTTTACTTGCCGAGCGTCAGTTAAGTTTTGTTATAATTCCACAATTACTTTGTTCTATATTATAAAATGAACTGAAACTGATTTATAAAATACTAATCTAATATTCTAGGTATCTATTTCACTTAAAAATATCTGATACTGAAAACTCATTAACACGACTCAAAGTTTTAGCACGCAAATCCCTATGGCTAGCGTTAAAAAAGGCACTATGTATGTATTAATATTCGATGAAATAAACTGTTTTTAAAACGTGTGCGAATTAATTTATCAAGTAAAGCAGATTATTAACCTACAGGTAAAGAAGTGATACATGGTCAATTTTGTTACCAAATATTGATACAGACAGCTTAATTCTAATAAGAACTATATTCTAAAATATCGAGAAAATTAAATATGGCACTTTTGATTTAATAAATAAAGTAAATTATTTTATTAATTATTTTGTAAAACATCTTAAAAACTTAAAAAAAGATGATATATAATACCCAAGCATAAACAACAATGGATTTGAAGTTATATTTTTTATTTACAAGTTTCTGAAGCAGTAAATAAGTATCTTCAAGTTTTTGGATTTTATTTTGAAATCTGCACAATTATTTTAACATATACTACATTATATTTTCAAAATTTTTGTCAAATGAAATATGTATCAAGCTGAAATTAAAAACTAGCAGCCGCACCAATAAGGAAGAAAATGACTTGAAGTGTTATACTGAGTAGCTAATTATTAGCTGGAGTCTATTATTTGTTTTAGCACTTTACAATCAATGCCCCACTCTTGACTTTCATATCCTTAAGTATGTCGGAAGTCGTGTACCTACTATAAACTGGGAGTATAATTTAGTAAACTAACTCAATGAA